GGCGAGACTAGGAAATCGGACGTTCAAAAACAGCGAGCGTCAGCATTTGGGGAGCAGGATCGAGACTGTTGACATTCCTTCCGGCTACTATAGGGCTTAAATTATAATTACCAATACCATTTTGGGGAGTATACTGGGCCCCCAAGCCCTATGCTAGTTTTTAAGGCCCCTATATTACTAACACTTCTAGTGAGACCGTGCGAGTTTGAGATCCCAAGTTCTTCGGCCCGGTTTGATGCTTCCTTTTTTTGCACACGAGGGACCTGCCAATCCCGAAGAAGCGGTATATAACTCCCCCAGCATCGCATGGTTCAGAGAATTTGGCTGGGTTTAGGGTTTTGGGGTTGAGCGTTCAGGGCTTACGATTTAGGGCTTTGAGGTTTAAGTAGGGTTTTGGGTTTGCATGATTTAGAGGTAACCTAAAAGCACCGCAAGATCCCATTGCGCAGTGTCGATACACAGGATAAGTGCGATTGGCTGCCCGAAGCCATGATGCGAATAATTCAGTCCTAATGACGACCGTTATGCTAGCAATGCTGACCTAAACGCTGGTTGATAATTTCCATCAGGGTGATTCTCATGCTGTTGATGACGGTGAAGATTGTCATGCCTGTCGCGTTCGCCCTCATTTCCGTGCATTCGACGAGAACCATACTTTTCATCATCGTCATCATCACCATCATCATTATGAGCCATGGTTCATGACAATCATCACGCTTCGTCAGCATCTCGAATACGATGACAATCCGCATCACCACGATCCTCATCGTTGACATAATTTTCGTCGTACCGCTCGCGATCCCACTCGATACCGGCGATATTCATCGTTGTTGGCATCATCGTCCTCATCAGTATGATACCGGGCATCACCCGCACTACTATAACACTGTCATCGTTGCGCCATTGTGTAGTTGTGTTTCAGTGTCGAACACGTGAATGCGTTGAGCCAAACAGTATGATACATTGTATTTTGTTCAAGTTGTGAAGTAGCCGGGACGAAGCCAACATCGTAAGGACACATCCACGGCGACCCTCGTGGCGGTGGATTCCAAAACCCCGGAGGACTAGCCACGCTTGGGGCTCGTGGTGCAGGGCATATGGTCCAGGGCCTTTAGCAGTATTACAGTCGGCATCATGTCCATGTCCATGTTAGGTCCTATTAGGTTTTACAAGCACTCGGCATGACAGAAGAACACTACGAATTCTTCCAGCCTCTACGTGTATACAATTACCTGTGGTAGCACGACATGGTTTACAGCGTCAGCGGTGTCTTTGACATCAGGCCGGAGGTTTGTTGGGGGAAGTCAGGACTTCTTGCTCAGGCCAAGCGGAAGTCGTGGTAGCCTAGGGTGTAGGCTCAGGGTTTGTAGTGTTTAGGGTTTAGAGTTGGGGCATTCGCCCCCACCCACCCTAAACCCTTTATAACTCGACTGGTGTGGTTCAGGAGCGTGCCCGCAATCTCAGCCTCATCACCTCTACCAGAGCAGCGGCACGAATTGCGCCTGGGGCGGCAATGTCGAAGAGTTGAAGCCGTACTTAGAAAAGAGTATAATCTGTCAGGTTATAACATAACTCAGATTCTATAGTGTAATCTGTCAGACTATAACATAATATTCTACGAATGTACTGTCATATAACAAGCTGTTACATCTCTCAAGGCATCGAAGTGTTCAGGCGAGGCTTCAACCCTCCAGGATCCCCGAGTAGGGGAGCTGGTGGTCGTTAGTTCGAGTTGGCGCTTAAGCTGTAGCAAACGGTGGCGGGGGTTGTAGATCCTAAATCCTTGTGCAAGCCTTTCGCGAATTCCGTTGTACCCAGACCTTCCAAAATCCCTTAAATAAGGAATATACCTTAAATCATATTCAGGGTCCTACTACAATTTAAGGTATATTCCTTAATTAAGGGGTTTTGGAAGGTCTGGGTATTCTTGCTTGGCGTTTTTGCACAACAGAGCCCGGAATCCGGGCCAAGCTGCACAGCAGGCAAACCCTGTTCGCAGTAAATGTAAGAGTACCACTCGGGGCGGCCAGGGTCTAGGATTAGGAGACTGTGACTCTCATACTATTTTTATTGTTACTATAACTATCACAATTACTATACGCTTACTATTCCTGTTAGAATTATTACTAGGACAGGACTAGGACTGGGACTCCGACTCGCCCGAGTTATAGTCGTAGTCGTAGCCTTAGTGCCAGTAGTCACCGTCAGACTGCGTGTCGTCGTCCCCAGAGCCTCCAGAACCCCTTAATTAAGGAATATACCTTAATTTATAATAGGATCCCTATTATGTTTTTAAGGTATATTCCTTAATTAAGGGGTTTTGGAGGCTCTGGGTCGTGGTCCTCGTCCTACTCCAGGTTACGCCCATGCTCTCTGCCGACCTCTTCGAGGCGAGCATGCCTGATGAGCTTTTCGATGGGGGAGCGGAGTGGGGATGCATCAGGGTAACGGATTAGAGCGGCAAAACTGACACGAATCAGATCATTGACCTACAAAGCCAATCATTGCCATTGTCAGATCGCTGCATATCACTGCAACGAGTCAGTAGCGGTGAGAGCCATCGTCTGGTATTTAAGGTTTGTCTTCCGTGCCTTGAAGAGTGAACAGCTCGCTTGGTTAGGCGTCGTGTTGCATGCATGTGTTGGGCGTACGCAAGAGGTGCGCGAGCGACTGTGGAGTGCTCGTTTGGGGATGCGGACAGTTAAGAGAGATCCCTGCTATCCGTCATCGTCTCGATCAACACTGTCACAGAGCGGCTGATGGAAAGCATGATACTGCTGCTGATGGCGGTTCCGTGATGACCCGCACATTACCATTACGATCATGATGCTGATCCTGGTGATGTTGATGATGACATTGTTGACAGTGCTCAGGTTGTTGTTGCTGCAGTCGTTGTTGATGCAGCACCTGTTGCTGCTGATGATGTTCATGACCTTGATGCTGCTGGTGCCGCTGCAACTACTTGCGGTGTTTGTTGCTGATGACGGCGGCCAGGGTACTGTTCCTTTCTTTGCGATGATGATGATGATGACGACGCTGGCGATGGCCAGAAGGTTACGCCGAGGATAGTGTTGTCTCCGTCGATGGTAGCAGATGGCACAACCTCAACAACAACAAAACTGAACCAACTTCTTGCCACATGTTTCCCGAAGCTCAGATCACACTCAATCCTCAGGTGAGTGCAACTCACAAGACAGCCCCTGGGGCGCTTCCTTACCTGGTGTTCCGGCCTCAGTGTGGCTTTCGGTTTAAGTTCCGGCGTGCTGGTTTTCAGAAGGCATCGCGGCACGGCGGCTGGCCCTGTGTTGGAAGTATACCGGCCGATGCTGCCATGAAGCAGCTTCTGAAATGTTCCACGGTGGTGGCAGTCTGGAATAGATTCAAGCACGAGCTTCAGGGCAATCCCGCCATTTCGATGCCTCCGGCATTGGTTCCCTTTCCTTTTACTCAATAATGATCTGAGATTCTCACAGGCTTCTGGGTTTGAGGCCTCGCGTCGGAACCTGGGATAGGCACAGAAGTGAGACACATGATCACGGCCGCTGTTCTAGAGGAGTCTGAATTCACAGTTGGGTTAGGAGTGTAGTTATGTAGCTGCAACAAAGGTCTTACAGGACGGGACAGGCTGTTTAAGGGCAGAGCTTGTTGTCTAAAAGTAAGCTTGACGGTAAGGCTTTTCGTCGCACCTGGCCTGCATATGAAAAAGCCTGGTTCCTCTCCGTTGACTCAAGTGGCATGCGTCGCAAACTGCGCCGTCTATCGTCAGGCTTGTTTCCGCAATCCTCGCAGTGTCTGAGGGTGCTGTCAAGAACATTAGGTCCGTATAGGCCTTAGGTAGGTGAAACATTAATCAGTAATCATTATGCCAACCCGATTTACGTCGACGAACTTCTGATGCCAGGGCTTCCTCGCTCGCCGGTGCCCTCACTCCGGTGCCGCTGCTGCTCAAGCGGAAGGACGAGGAAGAAGCATCCGAAATGGAGAAAAGTGTGCAGTGAGCAGGTGTTGAATCGTCCACAGGTTGGCATACCTACAACAGTGTCTTTTTCTAACTAGGTCACTCTATACGAAGGAACATAACAAAGAATGTTGCTAAGTTTTCGGCACCCTTAAAACTTCAGGTCAAGCGTCACGCGCAAGCAGGAGGCAAGCAATGAGCCGCAGGTCCTAAACTTGAACTTTAGCCCCAATCAGGCCACAGCTCAATGCCCTAAAACTTCCAACAATCCTGAACGTCTGAACCCGACCTCTCAAAGGCATGAACATGAAGGATCCTTCATCCCCAACCAAAGACCTAAGCCATTCACTTCATCCCCTCTCAAAACCCTGCCACATTCCACCACCCTCCGGCGAAACCGTCGCTAAACCTTACTGGGTTCAGTGAGGTGGTTGTCAAAATTAGGGTCCTTTTTTGGGGGTCCCTATTATCATACGGCACCCAAAAAGGGACCATAATTTTGACAACCACTCAGTTAGGGGTTCATCGAAGAGGACTGAAGGTTTAGGAGGCCTCAAGCCCTGAACCCTAGAATCCCCTACACCCTACAACTCTTAAAGTCATTAACTACAGGATTGTTTTGGGGGTTCCTGGTATAAGTATAGTATAATGGGCCCACAACCCTATTCTAATTCTTAAGGCCCCTATATTATCGTACCTGGTAGATCGGTTATAGTAGCCCTTGTATAGAGCCCCTTAAGGCCCCTACATGACGCCGGTCCGAGGCTAAACCCTGAATTCCGGACCCGCTAAACCCTAAAGCCCTAGCCCCCAGACCCCTGAATCCTAAACCCCTGAACCCTAAACCCTAAACCCCTCTACCCCCTAAACCCCTAAACCCTGAACCCCTGAACCCTAAACCCTAAACCCGTAAACCCTAAACAACCAAACACCAAAAAGGCCCTAAAAAGAACAAAAAAACCTAAACCCTAAACCTCGAATCCCTAAACCCTAATCCCTAAGTTCCTAAACCCTAAAGCCCTGAAAACCCTGCCGGCCTGAGGCTCTTTAGAAACAACAACCTCTTCTACGAGGCCCTTGCCTGGGAATTGAAGGACGCCCCCCGCCCGAGATGGGCTCTTGATTTTCTCAAGGTGTAGGGTTTAGGTTTTAGGATTTAGGGGTTTAGGGGTTAGGTTTAAGGATGGGGCATTACTTGTATTTTTATGTGTTTTTGTGGCCGGGGCTCTTATGGTCAACAGTTTGGTGCCTTCAGGGCTTCAACAAGCGGTTTCAGCGGTACAGCCCACAGAATGTTGCGCGTAGGGTTTCCAACTGTGAGTTCTAGGCCAGCTATGAATGGTCTTGGTTCCATGATGGTGGTTGATGTTTTCAAGTTATTCTGCGATGAAACGAATGTCCGAGTGATTGCAAATATGCTTTAGTCTTAAAGATATGTGTCGTCGTTTTATCACAACTTCGTGAGGTTCACTTTCAAGGATTAGACCACCTGCAGCTGACTTTGTTCGGCATGCCGTTGCAGCTAGTGCTGGCATCCTTACTATCGTGGTTCTATTGCCATGAAAGCCACAAAATTGCTGTGAGACGCGTTTTGACCGCTACTATGGAAATTATGACTACTGCCAATAAAAGTTGCCGCTGCTGGTGCTACTGCCATACTGCTACTCCCACTCCTACCTCTACTCCTCCTCCCCCTACTCCTGCTCACACTCCTACTCCTGCCCCTACTCCCGTACTGCTACTGCTACTGCTGTTGCTACCACTACTGCTACTGCTACTGCTGCTGCTGCCGCTACATCTACTACTACTGCTACCGCCAGTGCATGCCATTGCTACTACTACTACTACTACTACTACTACTGCTGCTGCTCCTGCTACTGCTACTGCTACTGCTACTACTACTGCTGCTGCTCCTGCTACTGCTACTGCTACTGCTACTGCTACTGCTCCTGCTCCTGCTACTGCTACTGCTACTGCTGCTGCTGCCGCTACATCTACTACTACTGCTACCGCCAGTGCATGCCATTGCTACTACTACTACTACTACTACTACTACTGCTGCTGCTCCTGCTACTGCTACTGCTACTGCTACTACTACTGCTGCTGCTCCTGCTACTGCTACTGCTACTGCTACTGCTACTGCTCCTGCTCCTGCTACTGCTACTGCTACTGCTGCTGCTGCTGCTGCTGCTGCTGCTGCTGCTGCTGCTGCTGCTGCTCGTCTCACTAGTTGCTTGATGTCACCCGCCTTTGTGCTGAGGTCGAGCGAGCATTGAGATCCGAGCTCCAGGACTTCAAGAACGCGTGGGCCATGGATTTTTAATGCAGGGCGAATCTAGGGGCCTTAATAAGTTTAGAATAGGGCTTTAGACTCTAAATATAGTAAAGAAGCACCAAGATAGTATCGGTAATTATGTAGGCCCCTATAGTATAGGGATCCGTTGGGGGGTTTGGCTCGGTTTTGCGCTGCGTGCTTTTGTTGGGTTGGCTTTGGGCTTCATTGTATTGCGGCATTTGTCTCTTTTGGCTGTGTGTACTGGTGTTTGTTCTCATTGTGTTTGCAAGCTCTCTTCGATAACTGCGCATCAGCCAATCAGTCGATCAGCCGATCGGGTTTAGTGATTAGGGCCGTTTAGGGGTTAGGGCTGATCGGCTGATTGGCGTAGCACGGTTTGGAGTTTGGGGACCAAATTACCACGCACACTGTTTGTTCTGCTTTAAGCTTTGTTTTTGATGTTGGCCTTTAAGGTTTTGTCAGGGTTTGTCTGGCTCAGGGCTTCGCAGTTGCGAGGGTTGCACAGGATGACCGGAGAAAAGTTCTCAAGTCGTTTTGAGTTACGTGATGTCATGTTAGCTAGCTTCTGGCATCCTGGGTCTTAGGGCTTTCACTAAGTTGCTCGGGGAAGACAACCGTCTCAAGCCTTTTTGCAACAGAAAGTCATTGCAGAAAGCAGCTGAAGTCGTGTTTTTGGGGACAGTGTGGATGCTTGATGCCCACTCTGCCTAAGAGATTCAGAGTTGCGAGCGAGCATGGCACAATTCCCGGGCCGTGTTCAACGACAGCGATTCTTACCTTTGGTTTGTAGGGAATGGAGGAATGGGGTACAATTATAAGTGCTACTACTACTGCTACTACTACTACTACTACTACTACTACTACTACTACTACTACTATTACTACTACCATTCCCTACTAACCAAAGGTAAGGATTGAGAGCTGGCTTGAGGTTCACATTGACCTCGAGCCCTGGTGATTCCCGGAGCTCAGTTGATCCTTCGAGCCGCGAGGCCCGAGCCCAAACTTCCGTGATCCCCCGGTTTAGAGTTTAGGGCTTACCTTAACCCTAAAGAACCTGCCTTTTTAAGGACTTATACAAGGAAAGCATAATATTAGGGAACCCAAAAAGGGAGGTTCTTCAGGGTTAGGGCATCTAGCCTAGTTCCGCACATCAAGCTCTCACTGCGATACTCCGAAGACAATCCCATGTAATGCGGGCCCGGCTGTGAAAGCTTGTTATTGGACGCTCCTAGCTTGACTCAGAAGTCAGGTTCCTTCTCACTTGCATTAACATGACCTTATAAATCCTAGGATGCCCAGTAGTACCCTTAGTCCCTTTTTGTAGTCCTAGGTTCCCTATAAGTTACCCAATACCAAAAGGGGGCCCGTTTTATTCCTAGGTTGCTGGGCATCCTAGAATCCTAAACTGTATGTAAGGTTTGCGAGTCTCGGAACGAAGGCCTATTGTGAGTCTCACATCTCCACCCGGCTGAGAACGACACCAGGGACCGGGATGCAGGCAATGTCTACGCAACACCTTCTTCATAATGTCTTCTTCTCACCTAGAGTCAGAGTATGATATGCCCTATTGCGAAGCGAACCTCTACACCCTAGAACCCCAAGTTTTGGATTTGGGTCGAGGTGCCAAATCTCACATGTCTGCCCTGTTCGCAGGTGCAGACGCCTCACGATTGACCCTCGACCGACGAGGTTTAGGGATTGGGGATTCGGGTGTCTATATATTATATGTAGATGACATATGATATGATATGTACTACATAGACAGATGTATGTATGCATGCATGGATGCATGTATGTCTGCCTGCCTGTCTGTCTGTATGTGTGTATATGGTGTATGTGTGTGTGAGAGTGTATGTTACGCATACATAGACGCACGCATACATGATGGCGTACTTACATACTCACATGCTCGCATACTTAATATGCACATGTACACATGTATATGTGTTATTTGTCAGTACACATACATATTCAACTTCATTGCTTCGGCAATAGTATACAACTAGTTTGGCAAAGTGCCAGTAATGCACAGCTCGTACATGCTTTTCGCACATGCCAGTAAGGGCGATCGCACTTCATCCTTCGCACTAAGATGTCTATTCAGTATTTGCAGATGCCCGAGGACCCTGCCCTAAACTCCAAACCCTAAGACTCTAAGGCGAGAAGATTCATGCATTTGCGGTTTATGCGTGGGCCCTGGTCCCATCTAAGGCACCTGGAAGTGAAAGTGCCCCATGCCAGTCGGTTTAGGGCTCCGGGTTTAGGGCACCTGTTGCGTCAGTCTCACCGCATTGGCATGGAAGGTTGTAGACAGTTAAAGCCATTATGGTTTGGTGGAGTATAGCCTTAGTGCATACATGCCACAAGCACTCGGAGCTATGCACAGGTGTCTTGAGTCATGCCTCATAATTCATGACTCTGACAAAAGAAACCCTGGCATCGCGACAGTGCCTGGTGACTGTGCATGGGGCCATGTACAAAGGTCTTTAGTGGCACCTGACCAAGGCTGGCAGCCTCACTTGCTCCAAAAAAGGTGCCGTAATAATTACCTACAATATTTTATGGTTCCTCATTATAGTAATGGTATAATGGGCCCCAAATCCCCAGTCTAATTATGAAGGCCCCGATATCACACACCCTCTGGGGAAAGGCCTCAAGCAGCTTGTCATCTGCCAGTCATGGCGATGCCGTCAAGTCATTGCTTGTCTTTCAGGTCGAAAACAGATGCACCTTTCCAGGCTTTTCCAAGCCCATGTCTTATGCTGAAACTGAATGAAGCTTTCTGCTAAGTCAGGACGTAGCGTTTGGCCCTTGGCAGCTACGGTGAAAGGCTTTGTCGCGTGTAGTTTAGGCCGAACTCTCAACTTTCAGGGTTGAACGTGCGCATGGTCCTTGCCCTTTGCTTACCTTTGGTTAGTAGGGAATGGAGGAATGAGGTACAATTATAGCTACTATTACATTATTCCTCCACTCCCTACTAACCAAAGGTAAGTTTGACGAAGAAATCGGGTTGGTTCAACCCGTTTTGGTAGAGCGCTTCCTTGGAAGACGGCCAGCCCGCTGCCAGTCTCAGGATGCCAACGCAAGTAAACGGGGTCGCAAAGGTTTAGGGTTGGGGGGTTCAGGGTTCAGGGTTGGGGGGTTTAGGGTTCAGGGTTGGGGGTTTAGCGTTCACGGTTTAGGGTTTAGGGTTGTGCATTGTTTTCTGCGCTTGCTTCTGCGACCACGACAACGAAGACTGCGACGACGACTATGGGGACGGCTACCTTACTACTTTTTCGGAAATTACTTCTGCTACTGCTGGTGCTGCTTCTGCTCCTACTATTGCTGCTACCACTACTCCTCCTCCTCCTCCTCCTCCTCCTCCTCGTCCTCCTCCTCCTCCTCCTCCTCCTCCTCCTCGTCCTCCTCCTCCTCCTCCTGCTGCTGCTACTACTACTTCTACCCCTACTCCTACTCCTACACCTACTCTTACTGCTACTCTCGCTCCAGCTCCTTTTCCTGCTCCTGCCCCAGCTGCAGCCTCAGCCACTGCTTCTGCTACTACCTGGTGCTGCTGCCGCTGTTACCGCTGCTTCTTGCTGCTGCTGCTGCTGCTGCTGCTGCTGCTGCTGCTGCTATACCACCGCCAGCTCGTCAACAACGACGACGACTGCTACTACGACTACTGCCACCACCTCACTACCAGGTCACTACCACACCAATTTGCCACTACCACCATACCACCACCACCATCACCACCACCACAGCACAACCACATCCACCACTACCAGGACGAACGCTTTCCCATCCCTACACCCTCGTCGCCCTCATTGTTCCCACCACTTCTGGACCCGGCTTATTTCTGCTCAATAGTGGCAGGGGGGGAGGCGGAGGCAACCAGAACTCCTCATCGTGGGTAACAAGCATGCTGCCACAAGACACGAAATGCTCAACACACAACTTTGCATGAACATTGAGTCGGTTCCAAGCTTCCGCGGCTTGTTCTGGTTGAAGTCAGATTGCGCGCCGCGGCCTTTTTCTCAGGATCTGAAGTCAATAGACCCGCACACACCGTGTTTTCAGCCTCTCTTCTCAAAGAGCACCGTTTTCACCTCATGTGTGACATAGAGATGTCTAGTGGTTCTGATAAAGATATGTCAGGGGCTAGCGGACCCGTCGCCCGACGCTGCTGTAGACATAGACCTGTTGAAGGAGAAACAATGCTTTTCACAAGCCAAGATGCGATGCTTGACATACTTGGTATTGAGCTGCAGCTGCACGTTTTATCGTGCTACTGCTTCCCTCGTGAAATCCTGAGATTCGGGGCTGCTAATCATCAAGCGAACTCATTGACCCTGTCGCTTCCTGTGAGTTTGTCAAGATTTCCGCTGGGCTCGAAGGTGCGCATCAAATCCGCCCTCGACGTGCTCCGAGCTTTCGAAGTTGCAAACAGGCTGGACCTCACAGAAATCGAGTCCAAGGGTCTCGAAGGTCAGGTTGGCGTAGTGACGCGCAGGCATGCCACGAACGGTATTGGCGTAAAGTTAAGTCCTGGTACATCCGATGGAGTGGAGCCTGTTATTCGGTGGCTGGAGCCTATTTGCCTAAACCATGTAGGTTTGCCGCCACCACGTGATGACATTGCCGATGTGCGATTTTTCTCCGGCCAGAAGGTTCGTGTCAATGGGGGCTCGGAACATTCGGAATGGCAGGGGAAAGTAGGAACCGTTTTCCTGCGTCACCAACCGTCCGACGACAAAGTTTTGGTGCGATATGCAGGGCAAGAAGAGGAACTGATTCCTCCAGTGTTCTTGGAGCAGGCCACCTCTTTCTTTGGCGGTGGATCGATCCCAGACTCACTTTCCTTGGAGTCTTTTGAGCTGGACTGCATCGTGCAAGTGCGGGAGAAGAGAGACGTCATGGCTGGCTTTGATGCTGCGAATCGGGATGACTACTTTGGATATATGGACGATTTTTGCAACCAGTTTGGTGTCGTGGACCTCTTACACCCAACCAATGGGATTCGAGTTTGCTTTGATCGAGGCCTTCAGCTGTGGTATGAGCCACCCTGTCTACGAAAGATAGGCGAAGCTCTTTTCAGCACATCGGCGAGTTCTTCCAGGCGCTTGCTGGTGGGCCAACGCGTACGCTTGAACCACAAATCCTCTCCCTACCACGGCCGACTAGGCCTTATCCAGCTTCACTTTCACGAGCGGGACTATACAAAAGTGACCGTTCGCTTCTCAGACGGTCACGAAGAGTATGTGAAGGAGAGCTCCGTCACAATCGTAAAATCAAGATTCTCGCCTTTAGGTTGAGCTGCATGCTTTCTTTGACCTCGTTGCTGGGCCGTCCTGCACCCGACGGCAAATGGCACGGACAGCAGTCGACAGAGGGGTGTGGTTGACGTTGGCCACCGACGAGCCATGCGGCAGGCAGGAGTTCGGCAGGCAGGCCTGGGCAACGAAGCAAAACGCTGGGCACGCGAGACGAAATAAGTGAGAGACTTTGCCCTTGAAGTCTGCAGTCCGCAACCGCCTCTTTGTATCCTCGCTTTCAATCGGCAAATCGCGCAGCGGGAGAAATGATGCAGGTTTCCATGGAGGTAGGGGCTTCTTTCGTAGTCTTGGTGTGTCTACATCTACATCCTCATGCTTGAATCTTAAAACCTCTATATACTCCTTAAACGCTAAGCCCTCATAAGCCTTACACCCTAAACGATAGGTCCTAAGCCCGCAGCTTTAGACCCTACTTGGAGGGGCAGGGGACATAGTAAGCAGGTTATAAGTAGAGTTATAAGTACTCTAAACCCCAATTGTCACCATACTTACAAACGGCTTACTAAGTCCCCTGCCCCTCCAAGTAAACCGTGAGCCCTCAGCCTTCCGGGAGATTCATCTCCGACGGCTTGCGCTTCCAGACCGGGACCCTCAACTTCAACTTAACAAAAGCTACCGCAACCTTAACCTACCA